GTGTTATCTAATTAAGGGCTAAACATTGCTGCCAGTGTTTTTCAGTGAGTGCTTTATTAGTATGGACTGAGCTAGCTGTGTGAGCTAACTGTAATACAGCCCATAAATTTACAAAGGGAATCAGGGATTTACTGATTTACTCCAAGGCAGGCCATCAATGCCTCTGTGTTTATGTTTGTCTTGTACTGATTTTGAAACTGTTTAAAAATACTGGGTCTTTATTCTTAACATGACTATGTTGCTAGCTTCCACCTCACTTACAAAGAATTATTATGAACACCCTACTTTTCTGGGCAATCCAAAGTTGCTTAACTCAACTTCACGGAGTCTTCGGCAGATTTAACTGCACTGTGGCAATAGCACACTCCTGCATCTGACACAACAATGATGTAAATGACTAACTCCATTCTTTTAGACAGCAGGCAATGGGCTTACGGTCATGTTTGTCTTTGCTGTAAAAGCCTATTAACAAACCGCATAAGTGCAGCAGTGGTTTAGGAGCAGTAACATGAGAGTGACCAGAATAAAAAGAACAATATATAATGTTCCTGTTCGATAACCACACCGCAGGTAATGAACTAACCTCTCCCACATGAATATTCATTATAGACTCAAAGCTTTAGGCTAATGTGGTACTGTGTGACCTTGCAGTCTACGGGAAATAACCAGCTAGCCCATTAGTAATTGTTAACATCAACTCACCAGTATATTTGCTCTTTTTGTCCATCTGCTCCTAGGGGCTATCAGCTCCTAGGCTGATAACAGTGAAGTAGAATTCATTCACTTGCAGCATCTAAAATAGAATTGGAAGCATATGTGCATCGCATCCAGTAATGTGGATCTTTATAGTGTTTCTCTTTTGCTGTTGAAATGATTACATGCATAAACATTTATTTTATTGGTTGAGATGAAGATATTTGTCAAGAAACTGAGATAAATAAACAAGTGAAGGTACAGTATGTGTGCTCTATGTGCACACATGGTTGCATGTTGGGGTGTATATAACCCAGTATACTTGACAAATGGAATAACAAATATCACATTTTTTGCCAAACCCAAGATATCCAGCATACGCGATATGAACAGTAATCTTTGAATTCAGCTGTCTCATTGCCAAATGTTTATAAAATCAAGCACCTAGCCATGCAGTCTGCCTTTACAAACATTTGTAAAAAAAAAAAAAGAAAAAAAAAAAAGGGGTTATTCTAAAATGCTTACTGAATTTAAGCGTGGTACCAGTGCAATGAGACAGTTTGTTAAAGTTCCTCCCAGTAGATAATTCACATTCACACATGGTACTGCTACAAAGTGAAAGCATTTAGGAACCACAGCAACTCAGCCATGAAGTCACACACCAGTATTTACATCAGCACAAACAGAGTGTGATGGGAGCTTCATGGTACAGGCTTCTGTGGATGAGCAGCTCCTGTGTATGTGTCATAATATTAATCACTAGACAACCATGCAGTCTAACTACTGATGCTCACCTTATTTTAAAAGTCCAGTCAGTCAGATCTGTTGTCACTATTCACGAGTGAAGTTGTGTCTTCCTCTGTAGGCATGTCAATGTGTCTGTCTATTCAACACATGCTTTGTCCACATACTGCTCTACATGTGTCTTTATAGCAATGTCCCCTGCTAATGGAAAATGTAATAGAGACTAGCTATTATGACCCTAAGCAGTGGAAAGAGCAACCAGTAGCTAATATGACTCCTGGAGAAAGGTAGAAGGCCAGGAGGAATGTGCTATTGTGGACCAGCAATGCATGCATTATTCAACAGTTCTACTCGCATGGCTGATGATAATGATTTTATCAAATCTGGCACGGTGGATGTTGGCGGGTTGGGGGTGGGGATGTGCACTTTTTTTTTGTTCCCTTTCCAATACAGTATGTTCATGAATTTCAATATGATATGTTTGGCAACAGAGATGGCAGGAACCATCAAATGAGAAACCGATCTCATCCCGTCAGCTCTTAACTGATATTGCCACCCACACATACACACTGTGATGACATCTGATAAGGATCAAAAGGTGGAGTCTATTGTGCTGAAAGGCCAGCTCAGGTGGGGTGGAAGAGAGAGGGGAAAAACACTTGTGTAGTGGTGCTCCTACCAGTGTTTATTCAACAGAAAACTCTACTGGTCAATGGGCTTTGATATTCATTTACCCTGCCCTATCCTAAACTCTGACACACAGCTGACAGAAGACTGTGTGTGCGTTCTTATTACACAAAGATCCCACCAGATGATGAGAGCAGACAGAGCAAAACAACAAAAAAACACACCCCAACATCCTGATGTTTGTGCAGCCCCCCTACTTCTCTACTTGCATAACATTCTCCACCTGCAGTTGTTGTTTTTACCAACTCTGTTTTCTACTTTTTCAAACATGCCATCACATACAGTACATAACTTGGAGTTATCATTAAACTACTGACTAATTTCTTCCCACTCCTTGGATAATTGCATTACAGTCCAATAAAGGAATGTTTGGGTTGGAGTGTGGGAACAGGTTTCTGTTCATCCTCCAGGACCGGCTACTTCCTGTCTCAGCCAGTTCACAGCACGACACTACCTTCCCCAGTCATGCTGTTAGATAACACGGAAGACTGGGAAGGTAATCGGGTCTGATGTGTAGACAGGGAAACTAGGAGACAGATACATAAGTGGACGTCCATGCATACAATCCTACGCAAAGGAATTATGTCATGCAAGAGGCACAGCGGTGGGATAGTCTCAGTAAGGTGCTGAAATGTCATCATGTGCCTGGGGGGGAAAGTGCTGTGAATGCATGTGTGTGTCTGTGTGTGTGTTGTCTGTGCATGATCATGTAGTGACTTTGTACTTGTGACTGTCTCCCCTCTTTCCCCTGTGGAGACTGTATGAGGTCCTTTTGTTGGGTAGATCTGTAACCTCTCCTGGCCTTTGTCCTGACATGTTTGCCTGCATAAATGCTAGACACCTAAACACCAGCTATTTCAGTAACTTCACAGTGCAGAAAACAAAGACAACAGGGATCATTGGCCTATTATATAAATGCGGTTTTCTTTCCTCATAAATGTTCTGTTTTTGGTGATTAAGTTTGGTAATATTAAGAACTCCAAGAGCTCTTTTGCCAGACAGTAAAGAGCAAATTATCTGCAGACAGAGAGACAGTTACTGATTGTTGTAGAGTAATTTACGCATTTTTCTTACTGGGATTTGCAGAAACACTGAGCATATTTTGAGATGGAAAACTTTCACTAGTTCTGGATGAAACTCCCCACTGAATTTCCCGCACAACCGACAAATCAAAAATGTTCCTTTTGAAAAAAATGCCTGAAGGATATTACTTTCTTTCTTGATTGTGCTAAACCTGGTTTTAGCTCCATAAAAGCCCAAACGATCATTTCTTTGCATTTCCTGCTCTTTGATCTTGGCATTCCTGTTTGAATCTTAAATGAATTAGGTTAAAAAAGCATAAAACTATTAGTTACTCAAGAATAAACGAGGAGCCAATTGGGAAATACCTCATTATTGATACTGCTCATTATCATTTCTCAAATCCAGATCCAGGATATATTTAAAGATAATTATTGTTTGCCAAAGAACTGCCTAGAAGATGCTATTGCTGAACCATTAGGGAATAATTGGTTTAAAATATCTCTAATCAATCGAATTCCCCATTTTCTAAATGAATCACACCTGAATAACTCAGCAATAAAAATTAAGTGGTACAAAACAATACTCAAGATTACTCCAAAGTCAGTTGTTCTTTTTTAATGCTCAAGTACTGAGAAATTACTGAGTATGATTAATGTTTTTATGACTTAAAGTGATGCAAAATGAACTTTTTTTGTTTACTGCCACTTAGTTTTTGAGGCAGAGGCAATCAGTATTAAAACTCAAACACAGTGGGCAGTTAGATCTAAGTCTTACCTAATGATTCTCTTATTTAGTGTCTTACATAGTTTATCCCCAGTTAATAATCAGCATCTCTTATGAAGTTGTACTTAATGACTTATTAGGAACTCATTGATGAATAATTATTTCACAGTTTTGTTTCTTGTTCTTGGTCTCAGTAATTATGAAGTATATTATAAGGTGTGTCTGTGTGTGTTTGCTTGTGTTGACCACAAGGCAAATAGCTATCCCATATATGATGTAGTCCTGCAACAGTGATTTGGACTTTGAGGGTCCACCGTAGATGATGTTAATCCAAGCTGACAACCCATTTCAGAAGGCTGCAAAGGTTCAGCACCATGTTTCTTGATATTCAAAATAGTCAAATTGAGAGAAAATAGTCAAAAACATCAGAAGAGACTTAATCCTTTTTTATTTGATACTTGAAATAAGAATGCTGGCTGGGTTATAAAATAGTAAATACAGAAATGATGGAAGAAAAGACAAGATTGCAGCAGAAGCATAACATGAGCAACAGCAGCTTGTGCGAAAGGCTTCAGAGAGACAGAGAGTGAGATGCGTTTTTCATGTACTCCACCACGCAATATCTTCACCTTTCTATTCAAAACCACATGTGCCTTGCAGGGTATTTTACTTTTCTAAAGTTAGCTAGCTGATAAGTATTTCCTGCTAGCTTACCATCAGTAGAGCGTTGGTTTGGGCTATCTATTATCTTTCCCCAGAATTACTTACTATATCAGCCTATCTTTCCTTGCAGGCAAATATCGTTTTCTTGTGTGTTTGTGCATGCCCATGCTTGTCCACTCCACTCCACTGTGCCTTTGTTTGTGTTTAGAACGAGTCCAGAGAGCCAGCAATTAAAAAGAGGACTGGGACATTTAGGCTTAGAGGCACAGACCCAGCATACACGCTGGCAAGCCAGAGGAGGCGAAATTGGAGCGAGAGAAAGAGCGAGTGAGCTGTAGATGAGAGAGGGGAGAAGCTGGGCTGGGTTGGAGCGCATGTGGGAGAGAGAAAAGGGGAAACCAGAAAAAAAGGGGCGGGCTTACACTCAGTACACACACACCCTCCACTAAGCCTTCAGTCTGGTGTAGGCACGCAAAAAGACAGCAAGTATTCGAGTATGAGCTCTAATGTGTCTGTGTGTGCGTAAAAGCTGCGCTGGAGTCCGGGAGACGTTTCACTGATGCAAGGATTTCCCTCTTTTTAATTCTTGAAGAGGACGCACACAGGCTGTGTTTTTACCAGTTCAGGGGATTAACTGCAACACGCACGGGGACCTATTAAGTAAAGGTAAAGAGACCTGTTTCTTGTTTTGAGGACGTTTGGTGAGCTTTGTGTGAGGTAGAAACTGTTGCCTATGGTGACTGGCTTTGTGTTATGTGTGATTAGATAAGTTACTAACTGTGTGTAGCACGTGTGCGTCTTCATAGAGTATACGATTTGTGGCATACCTGTGTGTATGTGTATATGTATATGTGTGTTAAGATATGCTGTGCAGTCCCACACATGGTGTGACTACTCTTCTTTGCTAGTACAGTATAGGCTCTGTTACTGTTTGGGGGATGCCTTTTTCTTTCTTCCGCTCTTTAGGTTCTTCCGCTCACTTCTTGTCACACACAAATTGAAATAAATACACGAGAATTGCACAGAAAGCCCATTTTGCTTAAATGCTAATCCTGCATGGCCATTTTATGTGTGACGATGAAAGGAGCTTATCAATCATTAATTTTCTGTGTTGGGACTTTGCCTAGTTTCCCAGTGGTGCTAATTTAATGATGATAAAATACCTTAACAGCTCTGAACCCACAGCACCTGGCAGTGCCCTTTGAGCTGTGGCGTTTGTTCTCTAAGAGTAGGGGAAACACAGTGAGGCGTGTTATATCCAGTGCATGTGTTTGGTTGTGTGCGTTCACATACTGTAACAGATCTGATATGCAGAGTTATGAAATTTCTTGAGATAAAAGTGTGATTACTCTCATTTCAAGATCAAAAGATCAAGTGCTGCTTTCAGTAATTATGGCCTGTCAGAAGCTTGTTAGCATCTGCTCTGTGAAGAAGCATAAAAAGCACCCAGTCCTCGACATTATACCATCAAAGGTTCACGATGGAAGATGTAGAAAGACAGATTCACTGAGAAATTTGGATAAAGACATCAGCCTGCTCTGTGCATGTGCGTATGTGTGGGAATATTAAGAGAGGAGAAAAGCAAAAGCAAAAGAGTGAAGCGGAGGATGAGACTGGCAAATAGGGAGACTTTAGAGCTACTCAAAGTCTTGAGGGAACAGCAGTTAAAGGCAGATTGGTACAGAAGACTTAGCAGAGTTGCAGTAGGCAGCAATACATGATAAAAAAGTAGGGAAACATTGTAAAGTAAGGGAAATACAGAAAAAATGGTGGGGATTCCTCAAATATCCACTGTCATTTCCTACTGAACACTGCAGGCATATTTAGCATCTGTCACTCAAACGTGTGTGCATTAGAGGAGGTGTGAGGTCTCAGCTGTGCCAGGATCCAGACAGCAAAAGAATTACAGCAGATCAAAGGGCAAGTAGCCTCTGCTGTCCTTTCCTCCACCCTTAAAATCCCTCTTCGTTGCTGGGAAGGAAAAAAAACCTTTGGTGGTTGGATTGAGATTTTTCTCAACATCAATTATCTACTCAGCAGAGACCATGTGAGGAATCCTTTCATTTTGCTGTCATTTTGTTGTTTTGGGACCTAATAGGGAAAGCAAACGCCTCACTGCCTATCAGCAGTATTTACAGTAGATGGTTTGATATCGGTGTGGTTGTTTGATAAGCCAAGCAAAGGGCTAACCCCAAAAGATATCCCTGTTATATAAAGTCAAATCATAACAGCTCAGTAGGCAAACTTTTAAAGAGACTGTTACACGCCTCTCTTCCACAGAATCCCGATAAGAGCTGTCACAGCACATTTTTGAGTCAAACTGTAAAACAAAGAGCTCTACAGCAAATCAATTTCCCCGCTCTGCCTTGTAACTTGGTGAAAAACTGTGTTCATTCTGTTAATATTTGCTTTTCTCTCTTTCTTCTGATGACTGTTAAACCAGATCTCTGTGTCGCTTTCTTGTGTTTTCTTCACCTTATCTGTCTCGCCTTCTTGCCACAATTCAATGGCTCAGTTGCCACGAGGAAGTTGAATATTGGCAGGGTCTTTTGAGGAAGCGATCCGTGAAAGGATTTACAGTGACAGATAAAAACTGGTGTGTGTGTGTGTGTGTGTGTAAGCGCATATTTATTTATTTATTTATTTATTTATTTATTTATTTATTTATAAAAATGACAGACTTTGCAAAAGCTGGGGGAAAAGAGGAGGGATGGAGCCATTATCCCATTCAGGTTTTTTTGTGTCCATTTACTGTGTACGCAAGCGTGTGCACGGAACAAATATGTGCACATCCACACAACCACACGGTGCTGTGTATACTGTAGGCTAATAATGTGTGTGAGCATGAAGGGGGGATGGGACTTTGTTAAGTGAACCCTCTGGGTTGGTGAGTGTGTGTCTGTTTGTTAAGGTGTACATACTGACCCAGATTGATACACTTGCTCTCATGCTCTATCAGCTCACTTTTAAGGCCTGTGTGTGCTCAGTTCAGAGAGAACATTGAATTTACCGACAGCTTGGATAGGTCTTAATCACAAAACAAGTTAACTTAACAATGACGAGTTTCCTTTGGGGGAAGAGAATTTTGCTTTCAGATGTAGTCCATCTCACGTGACGACATTAATACATATTCTTTATAAATGCACTGATACGTAGGTATAATTAGTGTATTAAATAAGAGTCACCAAATCAACTATACACTCTGATCTTTTCATGTAAATTTCAGTTTCCTGCATACATTAAATAACAAATATAGTATTTTTCTTCATCATCGTCTGTTGTGTGTTGTCTACTGCAGTGAATAAATCTAATAATTAAAGATATAACACACACGATGCAGGAACGGTCTTTATATGTGTCTTATTTTCTAAATTTACCTTTTATCCCTCTTCCTCTGTGGTCCACTCATTTCTGCTGTTAAACAAATGTGGGGCTTATGCTCTTCCCCACCAACCCCACCACCATCCCCACATGCAATCAAGCTGTTTAAATGTTTGTGTTTCAGTGTGCGCCTCTGGGTTCTCTGTGTGTGTCTTCTACGTGCGTGTGTGTTCATGTTTCTCACTGTCTGTTGCCGTCATTTGGAGCCAAGTAAGAAGAGAAATATCGCTGAAGTCTGTTTTGGGAAAAGCAAGAGAAAACTGACAGCTGAGGGTGGGGGGAAGTTAAAATGTTGTTTTTTCCCTCTCTCTTCTCTGGCTTCACTGAGTTTCTCTAATTACGCTGCTGGTTCAGTTCCGGCTACACGCAAAAGCAGAGGGAATCCCTTTGCAATGCAGATTGTAACAAAAAAGGCCGTAGCTCTGACACCGAGCGGGTCAAGATCAAGTGGATGAGATGAATCTGTGGGTTAGTAAGATGAGTTACAGAACAGGGGAAAATATGTTTATGCTGCAAAAAAATCAAAAGCAAAGATACATTTTTCAAATATTCCCCCAGCTCTTCTTTCTGGATAATTTAACTTCCTCAGTTGTATTTAATAAAAATGACTCTAATAAAATCTCGTAATGTCATAAACCGTGCAGTGGGGGTTGATGGGTCACACATGTTTCCCTATTAAAGTTGAATAGGTTGGAAATCATTTGGATATCACATATACTGCGTACACATCTGGATGTTTCTGGGCACTTGTGAAATATTTGGAAATTATGAAATGCATATGTGATTATGCGTGATTATGTCATACTAACGTCTTTGCTTTTCCATTATGAAATGTCACTAGTCTGGTTGAGCAGGACTACTTTGTTGTTACCTAAGCACTGCAGATCAGGTGGAGAACATTGTCCCAGACTCCTTAACATTAACCCCCTGATGAGAAGTAAAAAAAGCAGAAGGGATGCCTCTAATTTGTAACGGGGGTCTAAGCAGGGGAGGGGTGTCTCACAGTTGACATGAGCTGGCATGTGCTCTCATCATTTCCTCCCTTTTGTCTGTTCTGTCTGCTGATGAATTGGGAGTTTCCTCCTTCCTTCCTTCCTTTACTCCCTCCCTCATTCTCCCATGCTTTATTTTCTCTTTGTGTCCCTCTTTCCGTCTCTTGCTCCATCATGAAATATTTCAATCCTTACTCTCTGTGTGACAGCATTACCACCCTTGTCATGTCTGCCCATTATCTCTGATCAGTGTGGTGTTCCAGCCCACACATCAGCTCCGGATACCAGCTGATGAGGTTGAAACACGTTTGCGTGTGTGTGAATGCATTTTAGCGGTTAGATTTTATTTTCTAGGGCACCCTCAATTCATAATATGTATAATTTGGTATACTTTGCGATCAGTCTCCACAGGATGTGTGCAGTGTGAGATTATACCTGTCCTTCTAAAGAATATCGTTTCAAAGTGTGTGGTTTCATGGAAAAAGGAAGCTTTGCTTTGAGATAACCTGAACAGGAAAATGCTTTAAAAGACCTCAGAGTGCGAGAGAGGAAATGCACGTGTGTGTGTGAAGTGCTGAGTAGGGATTTAGAGCTAGCATTACTGCGGCAGTGCAGAGAACTTTTTCAATGACTGTGTTTATGCTTTGTTTGCACTGGGAGATTTGGCCTTCCTGGGATCTTTTTTTTGTTTGTTTTTTATCTCTGATTGGAAATCTTTACTCTCCTGTTTGGAATCTGTTTCTCTGTCTAACTTCACACTCACTGGCTGTATAATTAAAGCACAGGAAACAGGCCACTTAGCCATTGTCTCTTCTCTTTATTCCTTCTTCGGCCCCATCGTTCTCCTCAACCCCCTCATAAGAGCTGGCAGGCGACTCAGTTCTCATCACACAGTCGCACTTTACGTCCCTGCCTGTTGACCTGGAAGTGATGCAGTGGGATATTGCAAGGCAGTCTGAAAAGCCTGTGTGTGCATTTGTAAGTGTGTGCAAATATGTACGTGTATGTACAGTATGATGTGTGTGTGTGAGAATGACAAAAGCAAGGGCTTACAGGCAAAGCTGCATGACTTTTCTTTGTTCTATGGAGCGAGTTTCTTTGGGGTAAGAATAGAAAAAGCTGTGATGAGTCCTTTATGAGGTCTCTTTCATATTGAGTGATTTTGTTATTGTCCTGTGGTGTGTTAGCTTTTAGGCACGTGAAAGTGTGTGCATATGTGCCTGCGTGATGTCAGGTTGTCTTTGTTGTTCTCCCCTCAGGCTGGCACTCAGATGTCGGTCGTGTGGAGCTTTT